TGGAAAAGAGAGTAAAAAAGGGAAGAAAGGAAAATGAAATCCATTTGAACTTAACAGGTGCCTTATATAGGTAATCTAGGATAATGAACTGAGGCACTTGTCCCACAAAGAAGCTCAAGAGAGACAGAGAGAGGGAGAGAGTAACAAAGACGGATACTTTGCCTGCGTGCCTAGCAAACAAAGAACATGAACAAGAAAGTGTGTGTATGAGATAATGTAGCTAATGCGAAAATGGTGGGGTATTGGGGTACGGCTGGGTGTGTGAAAGTTGATTTATTAGGCGCTCAGCCAAGAGGGAAGAAGGAAGAGGGGGGAGAAAGAAGAGGAGAGAGAAGAGGAGAGAGAAGAGGAGAGAGAGGAGGAGAGAGAGGAGGAGAGAGAGGAGGATACCTTGAAATAGAAAAGAAAAAAATACAGAGAGAGTGAGGAAAAAAGAAGAGAAAAGAACATTAGCAGGAAGAAGGGAGAGGGGTGGAGATAGTCACCTCGACCAATCCATCCATAAGTATGCATCATCCAGGATATGGGCTCGAAAGAGTATCGACGCAGTGCCAGGCGTAAACTTCAATCGATTGGAGGTCGGGGGTTTTAAGTGCCTAGGTATGGATCATGGTATGTTTGAACTTGTTAGCACATGGTTCTGCGTATGGCTTGAAAGAAGGGGCGGATAAGGGATAGCTTACCTCCCCTTGAAGGGGTTGTTGCTACCCAGTGATGGCATGTGCTGGGCCTGGGATGGGATGATATCGGTTTGAACGCATGATGCTCGGTCGGTTGGGTGAGTATTACCTGCGAATTGTCAGTATAAGGGAGAAGGAGAAGAGAGTGGCTTACCTGAGGTATGATCTGTAAGTAGTTGTGACCGGCAGTTATCTTTCGGTTTATGTTGGTTTGACGTGGAACGAAAATCTGAGAGAAGTTGTTAGTTTGCTAGAAGGGGAAGTGAACTTACCTTACTTTAAGTCAGGTACCTACCTAGCTGGATCAGGGCGGCCTGGATATCTGTCCCTGTGGTAGTTAGGTTATTTGAAAAGTGCCGGGGGACTTACCTCCTGAGGAAGAAGTGTCGCTGGTTCGTTCCGGCCTAAGAAAAAGGAGTGAGATTTTCTGTGGACGGGGGTTCAACTTACCTATCTGTGAGTTATTGTATGGTCTTTTGGCCTATGACTATAGTTAGTTTGCCAAGAAGTGACTTACCCTCTGATGTATCGAGTTGAAGATGGCTCGGTCTCGTCGGGCATGTGAAGAGTGATTAGCTTTCCAAATGGAAGGGGTATTCTTACCTAGAGTGGTGAGATAGGGTCCGTTGTTTTCCGCTTCTGTCCGCAAAAGCCGCCCGAGTCTAGAGTAAGTAATCAGCATTAAGGGAAGGGATAAGGGACTTAGCTTGGAATAGCAGTATTGAGTGTCTTCGTCCTAAAGTTATCGTTAGCTTGTCAACAAAGGGGGGTAACTTACCTGTGGACGGAGGTCCAGTTGTGAATTAGTTGGGTGCCTTATCGATGGGTTTCTGTTATGTGCTCGGTCAGCTTTTGAAGGGGGCCGGAATGTTGACTTACCCGTGCAGTATCGTGTCCCTACAAAGATCAGTGTCTTTGGCTCGTCCTAGAGGTCATCTCAGCTGTTTTGGATAGAAGGACACTGACCCACCTTGCGCTCTGATAGAGTGGCTCTGAAGTGATCCGTTCGGCCTAAGAAAAGGAGGTCAGCTCGTTGACGGCGGATAACTTACCTGGAAATTTTGGGCAATCCAGGGTGAGATCTGGGTGGGATTAACTGACTGCTGCAGTGGAATGAAATCCGAATCTAGAAGGAGTCGGCTGTCAAGTCAGGGTTGGGGTCAACGTACCTGAAGTATTGCCTCAGTGGAAGTGGGCTCTGTCTGGCCTAGAAAAAATCAATCAGCTTTCACGTCCTGGGGAGGTTGACTTACCTGGAAACCTGCCTTGGGTATATCGTCCTATAAAGCGGGTAGTTAGTTCTCAGGTTTAAGGGCCGGATCGACTTACCTATTGTTGGTTTACCGTCCTGGAGTTATTCTGTAGACAAGATGTCAGACTTCCAGCAAGAGGATGGAAGGATTACTCACCTGCAAATCACGGGCGTGTTTTTTGCGGGTTATGGTTCGGCCTAGAAGACAGACTTAGCTTTGGACCTAGAGGGGGTGAAATTACCTGTTATTGTCGCCTTGGGGACGTTGATTCTGTGAGAAAATTGTCAGCTTAAAGTCAGGGTAGGGATTTTCTTACCTGCCATCGTTGCCTTGTGGAGATGATCCTACGAGAGAGCTGTCAGTAGATAACCAGGGGAAGGAGTGGACTTACCTGTGAACTAATCTTCCGGTAGGAGTTGACCTGTGGATGAGCAGTTAGCAGAGAAATCAGGGAGGAGTGACTTACTTAGAAAATTTCGAGTTTCGAAAAGGGTAAGTAAGGTAGCCTGTGAGAGAAATGTAAGCTTTATGCGAGGAAGAACGGGACTTACCTGTAATAAGTTTTACGTTCCTCAATATAATCGTCTAGTGATAGTCTGGTGGATAGATGGTCAGCGTTGGAATAAGGAAAGACTAACTTACCTGCAATGAAGTGCCCTGGTGAAAATCCTCGTTAGAATATCCTAAGAAAATCATCAGCTTTAAACTGAAAGAAGGGGTGACTTACTTGTGAGAGAAGATTGTGGTCCCGAGGCTGTTTCTGTAGGAGTGGTTAGCTTGGTACAAGAGGTAGAGGAATTACTCAACTGGAAGTGAAACTGGGATCGGTAATCCTCAAGTGAGATTATAGTGAGTAGTGATGGATTCGTTTCGAAACGGTGATGTCGGATGTTGTCTGCAAACGATGATTAGCTTCGCTTCGATATGTCAGAACGGATGAAGTCCTTCTTTGATACTTAGTCGTGATATCCGTTGTCGAAGTCGATGGTGTGCTTGGTATTCATGAATCCATGTCGTGATTTAAAGATGTGCTGCTTGATGACTTCTCACAAACAACTTCCAGAAACGCAGAGGGGACCACAGCCATTTATACACAATGTCTCTATGGACAATAAGAGAGCCTCTTGCGGCCCATCCCGTGAACAATGGATTGTTTCTCGAATGGGCCTCGGATGGAAACAAAGAGTGTCTGCCCTGCCTTTTCTCCGGGGAAGTATCCCGGTCTTTATCAACCACCTTCGTTCAATGCCTGATAAGAACCATTGGCTGAGATTCTCTCCCCAAGTACACGGGAGTTCACTTTTAGTTCCCCGGCCATTGTGGGCTATTGGTAACATGCGGGTGTGGCTTTTTGTTGTTCTTCGGAAGTCGGATCCTGCTCCCCCGGCTTTGTCGAGAACCGGATACCGGGTCGGCCTCGAGTCCCTAGCCAAAACAAGAGCCATAATCTTGGACAATGGGCTAAGCCTTGAGAGGTGGTTCACGGCTGTGTTCCGAATCAGTCACCAGAGACAGAGACTGCCCTGGGTGCGAAGAAAAGGACATGATGTTGATGTAGGATTGCAATAGCATCTGACATTTGACATCTGCACGGGTTGTTTCTGAGTAGACACGCAGAACGCATTTTAAGCACAAAGTAAGACAAAGCCCATGAAAAAGTCTTGCAGCAGTGGAAGATAGAGGCAGTAAAAAGGCAAATCGTTCGAAAGGAAAAGGCAAAAAGAAACATGATACAAACGCAGATCGTAGCAGAAGAAAAAAGCAAAAGTTATGACAAGAGTGGGATTCGAACCCACGCCCTTTCGGACTGCGATACTCAGGAATCCTGAACACAGCGCCTTAGACCGCTCGGCCATCTTGCCTTGATTGTTGTTGAAGATGCCTTAACGGCAAGAACCTATAATGACAATAACAATTGCTGCAATCCTCTGGTTCCGATATGAAAACAACAAGGCTAGTTCGCGGTAGCATGAGTTGAGTTGGACACTTGCCGAAATAAAAAATCACAGAACGATGGCCCCGTAGGGAAATGGCTTCGTCGCAATGACCATAAAAAAGTCATTGCGAGCGACGCACAACACAAGGTTGGGGAAGACGGTATAACAGAATGAAGAAAACAGTGTGAAGACAATCCAAAACTCCCATTTGTTCCGTTAGATACATTCTCAGGCACCTTGACCGGGTAAGTATGCCATGCCCCCCAAATAACCATAAGCTGATGACAATTCAGAGACAGTACACGTGTATGCTGTCCTGCAAAACGATCGAAAGATGTTTCCGGCACTTGAAACCGAAAAGCTGGCGATCAACGCCTGATAAACCGCAACAATCATTCCGAGCTCTGCTGAGCTCTCTCCACAACCAGACAGAAATAACAGCATGATCTGTTGTTCAAACTCTACTTCTCACCTCATCAGAGGATCGCACGAAAGCAACCGCTCTCTTTTGCGTTCCCTAGACCTAGTCATCACTTAAGCAATGACAATAGTCTGGCGACCCAGTCCATCGCCCCAAATGCCGACAACCGACATCAAGAAGGCAACACCAGCCACAGCGCTCTGGACAATGTTCTTCTTCAAGAATACCTCCACGTTGGCGCGGACCTCCTCGCCATTGACATTGGCCAGCTCCTCCTCGACATCCGAAGTCGCCTCGCTGTGGGAAGCCGAATCACCGAGAACCTCGTAGCTAGCCTCCAAGCCGCGGGGCGTGCTGCTCTTCTTCTTCTGCTGGCTGCTGCGGGCGGTCACGAACGAGACGGAGGACATGCCGGATGAGAACGAGGCGGGGACAGCGGGGGTGATGAAGCTGAAGTAAGGGCCGAACAAGCCCGAGGTGATGAAGCGGGAGCCGAACACGAGCAGCGAGGTGTAGATCAGGTACGGGTGACGATAGGCGCACGGGGAGAGGTAGTAGGCGATGGCGAAGGCGGAGCCCGAGACCGTGCTCAGTGTGCGCAGGTGCTTCTTGGCCGAGATGGAAAGCGATTCGAGCGCGCGCGCGGCATCGTTTGCGGAGGGAAGGGTCAGGAGGGCGGGGATGTGAGTGTCGAGAGGGTGAAAAGACACGCCCTATGGATATTGCTGGTTAGTGATTGAATATTCAAATGATAGTGTGATAAGTCGGAGCTAAGCGGGAAGCTTGAATCTTCGGTTGCACCGTTCAGGAGCGTGGTTGGAAGAAGATGATTGCCGAAGTAAAGCAATTGTGCCGACAGCGAAAAGGATGGAAGAGATGCGGGAGAGATGGACATACTGTTAGCAGGCCGAGGGACACGGTCCCTACGAACTTGAGGACGGAAACGCCTCTCGTAGTCATGATTGCGACTTGGCCGTCAACGAAGCCGATGATGCGAGGGGACGATGTAAGATGGAAATGGTTGGTTCACAAAAAAGGTCTGGAATCTCGGCGGTGTCAGGTCAAGAGATGGATGTCAAAGGCAAAATCCGAGTCTAGCTTCCTCAGCTTGGGAAGTGGGGGATCACATTTGGGTGCTATCGTCACGGTCCGCACAGAGGTCCCGCAGCACATGCGATAGCGGGCAGTCAGTCCACCGTCACGGTCGCACACGGCACACAACGCCCATCATCACTGCCAGCCAGTCCCGTTCTCCCGACACCTGACGAGGGGGTCACCACGATGGGGAAATACGGTCCATTTTACCACACGTCTTTGTTCACTTTCGGAACTCTTTCCCCGTGTGGCTTGACATTCGAGTCCTTTCAAATGTTTGAAAACTTCCGGCCGTTAAGGTGACAGAAGCGGAGAGAAGCATGGACCACTTGCGTCATTGTGAAGCTGAAGCTCCTCCCCAGATTCTGTTGACAGCCCACGTTAAACCCTAACCCTTCAACGATCTTGAATGTTGAAATATCAGCCATGGGGAAACGGCTCGGAGAACTCAACACCACAATCACTTCTGAGGGGCTTGCCATTCTTCAATTCGTGTTCTTCTGAAATCTGCAGGATAACATCTGGAATGCGAAGAAAACTAAACGGTCTTGAACAAGGCATCAACCAGGTGTCGAGGATCATACGCTGTCGTATTGACTGTTGTCTCGAGTCGTCCACCTTCTCGCCGAGACTTTCTGATAATGTCACCCAGCCAAGTAAGTCCACCCATTTCACGTTTATAAGTGACCTTTCCAATTATAACCATCACATACGACCATAGATGGTAG